TTTATAAACTATTTTGTTCCTCTAACATTATTTATTAGTCCTTAACAAAAGCCGAGTTGCATGAATGAACCACAGTTGTTGCAGAAGGAGAATTATCAGTTAAAATCGGACATGGAAAAATTACTACAAGAATTAGATAGCCAGAAAAACTGCAACAAATTGTTGCTTGATGAGATTGCTCGCTTAGAAGTGAGTGCAAATCATAGTAAGGTAAAAAAAATGCTGTTATAGTTTCAGTCCTAGAAATTCAGTATACGACTGAAATTACAGCATTTTTATACCATCTTATAATTTTCTTTATTTTTACAGATCTTGGAGGAGGAAAAAGCTTGTTTGGAGATGGAGTTGAACAACATTCAAAAAGATCTGAAATGGCACAAAGACCAAAATAATGTCGTACAGAATGAGATCGCATGCTTACAGATGAATTTGAAGCAAAACAAGGTGCATAACCTGTATCGACATTTTAACTATATACTATGTGATGAAGTGGGTTTCAAAAACATTGTATATTATGCTATATTTTTTTACTGGTGGGTTGTATGCAAATTTAGGTGCAAAAGTTTTTTACTTGGCCAAACAAGAAACTAGATCTAAACTCTCTCTCTCTCTCTCTCTCTCTCTCTCTCTCCCTCTCTCTGTGATTATATATGTCCTGGAGAAAAGAGTTGAATTCTTTGAAAAAGCTTTCTAGAGCGTATCAAAGTCCAGTCCAGGTGAAGCAAACCTACGTTAAAATCAGAAATTTGTGCTGAGGAAATTAAAATATTCGTCTAATGGTTATGTATTGAGTTCCCTTTCTGGATTTGTAAATATTTGATTTTAGAATTGTCGAACAAGTACTATTTCGTTCCATATTCACTATTACGTTAATTCTTTTATAGATTAATGGAGGCAAGGAGATTGATGAGCTTCAACTGAGATTGCAAGAAATGCAACAGCTGCACGAGGCAACTGCCAATGAACTAAGAGTTTTAAGCATAAACTATAAGAATCTAGATTCAGAAAAGGTATATTTGGTATTCTATAATATATCACGTTTATCCTGCTGCTTTTCTGTTTCGAATAGAATATACTTTCTTTTGCATTTATGGAAGATCTAATGAATCAAGGTTGGTAATTCCATATTTTAAATTTAGCCTTTAACTTTAAGTACTTTTGCAAGACACTAAACGATGAGATTTAACAATATAAAGTTATAATATGCTCCTATTGCTTATACCTGCTCAATGAATCTATCAGGAAACAATTAAATATGAACTTGATGCTGTACGAAAAACTCTACAAATAGAGGAAAGGCGAAGAAAAGATGCTGAAGCAGAGCTCAACAATATAATAAAAGCCGTCCCAGAAAGTGAAGATGGTTTTGAGGTGAAAGAGATTCTCCTGACACACATCGAATTCAGATTAATGTTCATAATTTTACTCATTTATATCTATATTTTTCTAGTTAGATGAATATCTCAATTGTATTTTCTATAATTGACCTTGTAATTTTCTCAAAGAGACCATTCTTAGCAGAAAATTCCTACCTCCATATTTTATAGGAAAAGACATCTTGCATGCTTGAAAACACAATCAAAAGGTCCTCGGCTTTAAGCAATGCTCAAACTTCTCTAAAGTATAGCCGATCAAGAGAAACTGTCCTCAGTCAGAGGAATACAGTCACCAAAATATGTGAGGAAGGTAAGATTCTTCTTGCTTATCTTTTCCTTTTATGTTTATAAGGTCTCCAATGGGTAGTATTTGAATAATGACTTGTTTGGTTTGTTTGTTATGAACGTATTCAATGGATTTTGCTATTTTATCATGCAGTTGGCATCCAAAAGATACTATCATTGTTAGAGTCTGGTGACGTGGATGTTCAGGTTCATGCTGTGAAAGTTGTGGCCAATCTAGCGGCTGAAGGTACATAATAATCGATATCTTAAAAGTTATTTTCTAATAATAATAAGTAAATATTCAAGCTAGTTTACAATTCTCGTTAAAGCTGTCTTGGCCTTTGCATTCCTTTTCGTCAGACAAATTTCGGATGATAGAAGTTGATCCATAAATTCAAATCTTGGTATTATCTTTCTCCAATATGAGCTCAATTTATTTTTAAATTAGTTGCAACGATATTTTTGCTTTTCAGTCTACTAGATATAGTTTTGGTATTTTGTCTTGGAAAAAGAGGACTAACTGTGACTTGGAATTGATTTTATTTTATTTTATTTTTCAAATTTATATTTCAGATATCAATCAGGAAAAAATCGTTCAGGATGGTGGTTTAGATGCACTGTTAATGTTGTTGGAATCATCACACAACACAACAATTCTCAGAGTTGCTTCTGGTGCTATAGCTAATTTGGCAATGAATGGTATATTTTTCAACTTTCTTCAGAGGACATTGAATATGTAAAAGCATTCACCGGCAAGATTACAGTGTGAACGAAAAGTTTTGGCGAGAAAATATGCTTTACTTTTTATTTAATTATTTGTCGTCATCATCATCATCATCATCATCATTATTATTATTGTTATCGTCATCATCTCTTTTTTCTTTTCTTGGCATAATCAGAAATGAACCAGTGTTTGATAACGAATAAAGGAGGGGCGAAACTTTTGGCAAATGTGGCTTCAAAAACAGACGATCCTCAAACTCTTAGAATGGTTGCAGGGGCAATTGCAAATTTATGCGGAAACGGTAAGCTGTATTTATAGATTGTCAACATAAAACGTTAAAGAAAAGAAATTAAAAAAAAAAGAAAATTGTAAGCTTGTAGCAACTTCAAGTTTTCCTGCTTCTAACGTTAAAAAGTTACTTGATGAAGTCCATTTCAGTTCGTGTAAAAAATTGTTTTTGAAGTTATTTTAGTGTCGAATCATTGTATTCTAATACCGGTGCCTTTCTATCACAGAAAAATTACACCCGTCTCTGAAAGAAGATGGAGCTGTCAAATCTCTCTTGGGGATGGCTCGATCGGGAAATAGTGATGTCATCGCTCAGGTTGCGAGGGGATTAGCTAATTTCTCCAAGTGCGAGTCTAGAAAAATTATGCAAGGTACTAATAAGTTATTCGTGAACAATTCTGTGAATCTTGCTTTTTTAAAAAAATTAAATCTAAACAATTTGCACTCTTGCACAGGCCATTGGAAGAGCCGTTCGCTTCTAATGGAAGATGGAGCTCTGTCTTGGCTTGTTGCTAACTTGAACACTTGTTCGGCTTCTACCAGACGCCATATGGAGCTCACATTTTGCCATTTAGCACAAAATGGTAAATGTTATATTGTCTTCATCTTTCTGTGTGAATTTTGAAAAGAAAGCTCAATATGTCAAAATTACAAAAGCACCTGACATTGTTTCAGGATGATTACAACAAGTACTCATGAGTTAGTGAATTCTCGTCGGGGGGCTTTATGTAGCTTCTAAGCTTCTTTAAGTTTAAAGTTTTTATGCTGTCTGAGAAAAACATTGTTCGGTTTACAGAGGAAAACGCTGGGGATTTCATAACCAGTGGATGTCTGAAAGAACTAATCGGAATCTCGAATAGGTCTGAAAGAGAAGATATCCGCAACTTGGCCAAGAAGATATTGAGGTCGATTCCTTTGTTTCGTGCAGAACTTGATACAAGGTGATTGACCATTAAGCTTGTATGTAGTTTCAGATGAGCTATTTATGTACTTTACCAGTTTCTGTAAATTTGTATAGAGATTTATTTAATTATTTATTTATTTTTTCATGAAAGAAAGTATGGTGAATTAGTTGTAAAATAATGTGTTACGAACTATAACACCACATAATGCCTGTATTTTGAAATGATATTTTGAACACATGCAATTCTATAATTAATTCCTTCTTCCACTTAGCATTTTTAAACGAGAATTTTCAACACATGTAGTTCCATTATTAATTCACATGCTATAAATTGATTAATCATGCAAATATAGCAATTAATAACAACAATAAAAATATGACAATTAATTCCGCTATTATGCTTATTAATTAGAACTCTGGTTCAATAAAAAAATTAATCAGTCCATCTCCTATTGAAATTGTATTTTCCATATCAGCCAAGAATTCCACCTTGCTCGATGTGCATCGCCGTCCTGTCGCCCGCTGTGGTGCTGCACGTTCGAGTCCTTGTCGTCGAGTCCAGCCGGTAGAGATGCAAATGAACCGAGCAGCTTGCGAGCTGCTCACGAGCGCTTGAGTCAAAGCTCGACTTGAGTCAAAGCACGACTTGAGCTCATATTTTGCAATGTCGAGTGGTTAATGTTGAATGACTAAATATATACATATTTTATATATATTTATATATATAATACAATAGTATAGTATAGGTGTGTTGATAATTTCATTTTTCTATTTACAAATTTTTGAGCCGAACTAGAGCCGAGCTCGAGCATTTTGATTTCAAGTCGACCTAGAGAAGCTAAAAAAAAATCCTGCTCGATTCGGTTCAGCTAGTTTGCATCCCTATGAGCTGAATCCTGTCATCCGATTGTCGTTGGAATGTTGATAGGGACTGGTGGTCATCATCGTAATGGGGTGTCGTCTGGGACCTACTTGCGCCTATCCGAGAAGTCGTCGAGCTCTAGGGCCTGGTTGCGTACAGCGACGCCTGCCCGAGCGTGTCGCGGGGTGTGATGCGCAAGCGACCAAGAATGTGGATACGTATTATATTTACTTTTTTAGAATCACCGCTTTTTTTTTTTTTCTAGTATTACCAACACAATTTGAAATTAAAAGTTACAATTTTTTTTAATAAAATTAACTATTCACTAGGAAATACTACAGTCTCGTTACGGAATAATTTCGTCGGGATCAATAACCGTTCGGTCATCACGTAACCGTCATGGATAGTTGATCTAACGATTATAAATCTCGATGGAATAATTCTGTAACAGGATTGTAGAATCTCCCTATAATCATATTCTTATTTCTTACTACTACATTATTTTTCTATCAGCTTATAATTTTTTATTATGTTTAAAACGAAAAATGATTTTCTATCAACTTTGATTCTACATTCAATTTTTTCCACACAAATTAAACTATACTATTTTGCAGTTTATGATTCCTCCAAATTACGATTACGAATTGCAGGGAAGAAGAGGGAGGAGGCTGAGGTTCATCACTTCTCCTATACCATTTGATTTTGATTCGAAATACTCTGATGGATTTATCTAATCACAGCCCTAATCCTGATATCTTTAATCAACTCGACAATTCTTCTCAATCCTCAATCCATCTTATAGATTCTTCAGGCACCGTTACCAATCTCCAAGACCCTAATTGGGCTTCTCTTGTTAGCCAAAACCCTAGCTCCGACGCGAATTCCGTCCAAGGTGACCTCCTTTCGCTGCCTGTCCCCAAAGGAAAGAGACGCGGTCGGCCGCGGTATGCAGCGTGGTCTTTGAACCAGGTCCATGGCCTACACATCTCGTCTTCCAATAATGGCTCGAGCAATGCGAGGGCTTCGGTTATCAAGACCCAGATGCAGAACACGAGCAATTTGATAAAGGAAAAACAGGGTTCTAGTTCGAATTCTGGTAGTCTGGCCAAGAAACCCGTTGATGGCATGTCGGATGAGATAATCGTGATTAACAAGGATGCAACAGCTGAGGCCTTGATTGCATTGACTGCCGGCTTCCCAGCAGATTCTCTAACAGAGGAGGAAGTAGAGTACGGTGTGGTGTCTGAGGTGGGCGGCATTGAGCAGGTCAACTACATATTAATCAGGAACCACATAATCACAAAATGGCGAGAGAACGTGTCCACCTGGATTACAAAGGAGATGTTTGTGGGTGTTGTCCCGGAGCATTGTGGGCCACTCTTGAACACCACTTACGATTACTTGGTTTCTCATGGCTATATCAACTTTGGGGTGGCACCTGCAATAAAAGAGAGGATTTTGGTGGAGCCAAAGAAGCCGAACGTGATAGTGGTAGGGGCTGGGCTTTCTGGGCTGGCTGCTGCAAGGCAGTTAATGGCTTTCGGATTTAAGGTTACGGTTTTGGAGGGGCGAAGGCGTCCCGGTGGGAGGGTGTACACAAAGAAACTGGGTTACGGCAATACAGTTGCGGCTGTGGATTTGGGAGGAAGTGTTTTGACCGGCACTTTGGGGAACCCGCTCGGGATTTTGGCTCGTCAGTTGAATTTCGTGCTCCATAAAGTTAGAGATAAGTGCCCCCTTTACAGAGTGGATGGGATGCCTGTGGATCCTGATTTGGACAGGAAAGTCGAGACCTCTTTCAATCAGCTCTTGGATAAATTGAGTAAAGTCAGACAGTCAATGGGAGATGTTTCGCGCGATGTGTCTCTCGGGGCTGCCCTGATGACATTCCGGGAGGCCTTTACTGAGGAGGAAAATAGCCTCTTCAACTGGCATCTCGCCAACTTGGAATATGCGAACGCCAGTTTGGTCTCGATGCTTTCGCTTGCGTTCTGGGACCAAGACGATCCGTATGATATGGGAGGTGACCACTGTTTTCTCCCGGGAGGAAATGGGAAACTGGTCGAGTCTTTGGTGGAGAATGTGCCCGTTCAGTACGGGAAAACTGTCGAGGCCATCCATTATGGCGGTGATGGAGTTCAGGTTGCTGTTGGAGGGGGTCAGGTTTACAAGGGCGATATGGTACTTTGTACGGTCCCGCTTGGGGTTCTGAAGAGTCGCTCAATTAGGTTTGTGCCCGAGTTGCCTCAGAGGAAGCTTGACGCGATAAAGAGGTTGGGATTCGGGGTCTTGAATAAGGTTGGGTTGCTATTTCCGCATGTGTTCTGGGGGACTGATCTTGATACGTTTGGGCATCTCTCTGATCATTCGGGCAGTCGTGGGGAGTACTTTCTTTTCTACAGCTATGCCACCGTTGCCGGAGGCCCGCTTTTGATTGCTTTAGTTGCAGGAGAAGCTGCTTACAAGTTTGAGAATGAGGATCCTACAGTGTCTGTGAGGAAGGTGCTTGGGATTCTTAAAGGTTGATAAATTACTTTTTTGCTTTGTTTTTTTTTTCTTTTTTTTTTCCTTGAGATGAGTGTTCATCCTCTACAATTTGACAATTTGGAGATAATGTTACTTGTGCTTGCATGGTTATATCTGTGATGGGTAGACGGGTATTTTTATTTGCTGATTTCTTATGTGCTTATGGAAGTATTTGTTGCTATTTAGTGCTTTAGGATTTTGTTTCATGTGTGCATATTCTCAGTATTTGGTCATCTGTTAGAGTTTTATCTTGTACTTGTGCTAGCCTATTCAAGGTAATTAGTCGCTTTTCTGTTACCAGTGTCCTGAACGATTAGGTTAATGTACTGTCTATACTTGATTGGTGGGTATTAGGATGTCTAGATTGGTGGGTATTAGGAACAATTAACTAAATTGAAAAACCTTGCACAAAAAGTTTCAGTTTTCAATATATGTTCCGATTATTTAAATCATTGATGTAACATTTTATCAAAGGGACATCATGTTTGGACTTCTATACAAAGAAAGTGACTAGGGAATTTAGCATCTTAATGCTAGAATTCACATTCTGCAATTATCTTACTGGGGTTGTTGAATTGAATATATTCAGAAGTTATGCCTTTTTTTTTTTTTTTTTTTTT